AATGCATGTATTTTCAAGTATTGCCATTTATTATAAATTGACTTCCCAAAAGCAATAAATCATTCGGGCGATTTTTTTCTTATAGGAGGACGTAGTCATGAACGAGCACCAGTTACCCTCGACGACGTGATTTGTCCCCGAAGCAATTTGTTGCGCACACCATATACGTGTTAGTACGTCCATGCGTGCACCAAGGAGCTTTGAAGCATCAACGCATTTGGTGACAATGCAAATCACATTATGGGAACGTGCCATGTCGCCCTTTGGAGGCATAATTTTTAGCTGTTTGGTCTAGAAAGGGGTATAGATTTGCTTGCCTTTTAGGTCCAATGTGAGGTTTGCCTGTCTATGATAGAACCGGGGGATTAGGGTTGTAATGGGGTATAGTTTTTTAAATGAAAATGGTCTATGATAGGGTCTGGGGTTTTACTTCCCGGCCGCACACCCCTACCAAACTGAAAGGCCAGTGACCCCCCGGGGGTGCGACAAATTGTTGACATATTCACGATTTCCGGGCACGCTGTCTATTGACAATAATGCCAACGCAATTATACGACAATATATAATACTTGCAATGTACATACAAGTCACATTTCAGATCACGGCCCCATTTCTCTATTAATAAAAATAAATACTGCTATCTTGACTGTTGCATGGTCTCATTGCTTATATCTCATTGATCCACTCATAATTTTGGAAGATATTTCTTGAAATGAATAGTGACTCAACATCAGACTGACACATTCTGGGCAATTTATTTCTTTAAAGTTTAAATTAAATACAAATATCGCGAAATGAAGGTGTTAAGGCGAAATCCCCTGTGACCGCGTTCACCCCAAATTTCGAAAAACTATTTTCATTGAACTGAAAAAAACACCACAATTTGGCCAGTCGGCTTGATCATATAAACACGCAAATGAAACAATCGCGCATAATTGGTTATTATATTTCAATAAATTACTCAACCCAAAGGAAAATACAAAGACAAGTATGGAAACAAATAATTGTTGATGGACCAATTCTGTAAAGCGAAATTGAGAAATCAGTTGAGCAACAAGGCAACTGCAGAAGATATAGTATATCAAACAGTTACACAAACTGTTTAATATACAGAAGTAATAGTTCTCCAAAAATATTGAGCTCGGGCTTAATTGTGTCTATTTTCAAATCGTTATTTACAAACATAATAAATATAAGAATGACATCATTTCATCACAAAAGTAACATTCTTTCGAATGAACATTTTGGTTTCAGTTAAATATTCAGGGTTGTAAGGACAGACTTAATTAAACACACGATGCATGAAACGTAGATAATTTAATCGGTTTGATTAATAAAAATAAAATACTTACAACTGCTGAGCAAAGTAAATTACAGGTACATATAAAATTTGTTTATAATATTGTATTTTGTTTTAGTTTTTTTGTTATATAATCATTTTAATTCCTTTCGGTGAATTATGTGTGCTTTCAACCAAAGTTTCACGAAAGGTTTCAATCTATGATTCACTGGGTGATAATTTGAAATGTAAACAAACTCGCCAAAAATCACGGCGTTGAATATGACGTGAAGGAATAGTGTTTCACCAGCACCTATGGATATTTTTCTCTGGAGTATACTACTTGAACGGTGGCTACATGTTATCAAAATACATATCGGAGAGACGTGACGTATATATGTGAATAAAATATCTACAAAAAAATGGAATGGGTGAACGTGTTAATTAATTAATTTTGTCAAATTAAAACAAAATAGCACCACCTTAACATTAGTGTAATTGATTTAATTAGTTCACAAAATTCGAGATTCTAATCTTGTTTATATTTAACCCGGGATATTGAAGCAAATCTGGAAAATAGATCACGTGACGAACAGGTCAACACAATTTGGGTTAAAGGTCGCACGACAGCAGCACATGACAATGGCGGGTCGTTGTTGTGACGAAGGGAAGAGGAAGAACGCCGTAGAGTTGGAAGAGAAAGACCAGAAGAGTAATGCTTTAAATAAATGTGCAAGTTCAGCCATTGAGCAGTTCGTCATTCCTCATATGGAAGAGTCGGCACGCTGTTCACAGTTAGTTTTACGTATTGTTAAAACCCTGACAGGAAATCTGGTCCACATCGATCCTCGACTTGTTGAATGCTTCGGTGACAACCTTGGAAAGGTGGACGCTACTTATGTTGCCGGCGGTACTAAACTTAAAGAATTTATTTGCACATTGGCACTGGACAGTGGAAAAATTGACAAACTTTTCCAGGTAATGCTGCTATTTTTATATTTGAATGACCCGGAAACCTGTGATGTTGCCGTGTAGTACGAGATCGAAAACCTGACATTTACAGCAAGTCTCTAAAGTATTGGAGTATTTGCTAACTTGCTGTGAGACTTTCTGTAATTTTTTGATGGATTATATTGTATATGAAAAAAAAAGAAACGACTTTTACAGTATCTTTTTATAATACATTCATTTTTAATTGTATGTCACACACAAGGTTTTCAAGAAGACAATTCTTACATATATGTACATGCCTAAAGCAAGCACCTATTAACATGTACATGCCTAAAGCAAGCACCTATTAACATGTACATGCTTAAAGCAAGCACATATTAATTAACATGTACATGCCCAAAGCAAGGACCTATTAACCTGTACATGCCTAAAGCAAGGACCAATTAACCTGTATGTACTTGCCAAAAATTTAGTAAATTGATGAATTTGCTGATTACCAGGCTCGTAGCCAGCACTTTTGAACAGGGGGTTCGAAAACAACAATAATATATTTTATGTGAAACGTGTGAATATTCAAAAAGTGTCTTTGAGCTCTGTTACAGACATTTTTATATTCTCGGTTTTAAATTGGTTTACTTTGTGTTACGTTGTTAAATTATTTCACACAACATCTTTGAACTATTTTACCATTTTACATTTTTAGAGAAGGGGTCCTGAGCCATTCCCCACCCACAGACAAACACACCCACACCCTAGATCAACTACGGCAAAATGTTGTACACAAAAAAGATAAGACCACGTATCTTAGAATTATTGTCTAAGCATTTTAAGGTAGAATGCTACTCATGAGTTTTTTCGCTCTTCGCAGATGTTAGCGCATATAAAAGTGACACGATTTCATTTCGAAATCTGTCTACAATTGTTCATTTTAGTATTAGTCAATTTTGTATTATTTAATTTTATTTCTGTACAGAGCCTCAGCCCATTTTACAAAATGTAATGGGTAGAAAAGTGCATAGCACGTTTTAAAAACCATACAACATTCATGTAAACATATGGTACTAAATTAAGCTGGATTCATATTCATCTCGTCGCTTGAAAACTTTTAAAAGATACAGAGCTAGTTGATGTATGGTGTGGCAGTTTGTGTAGCAACGAAGTACAAATGTAAGCCCAGACTGTCAGTATTTGCATAATTGCATAGGGTTATTGACAAAAGATCAGCCCTTAGATCATTATAAAATGAACATATAAAAACAAAGTGAATTTCATTTTCTACCATGCTAAATTCAAACTTATCACTGCAAAAACTAAAAATTAACTGTATTTTTGTGTGTCTGCCTAATTCAATATTATGTTTATGGTCAAAACAGCGAAAACTCGTCAGTATATATTTTAATCTATAATTGCTTGGCAATAAATCTCTCAGGTTATAATACTACTTTGATTTTTCCGAAAGTACACAGCCTGGATGATTGTGAAATTGAGGCATGCCATTCTTGCTGACAACAATTTTTTATTCTTTGAGTAAATATCTCTAAGAAATTTGCAGTATCTCCAACTTGTTTTTCAAACCAGACAATGCCGAAACCATATTAGAACAGGAGAATTTTATGTGGGTTTCCCAAGTAAGTCTCTGTCGGTCTTGTCTAATCGTTTAAGCATAATATAACATGTTTTGGGGTTCCAGCTAATTTTACTTCAACTAATTTTAACCAATATGAGATACAACGCTTGAAATAACCACAGCATAATGGCAGCCTTCCACATTCGTCCAACATCGCTACATTGTTTGTACAACTATTAATGCTAAGTAGATATCTGCAAAATGTTGTCTGTACCCTCTTGATTTCCGAATTTTCGTACCCCCATATCGCTACCATAAGAAATAGCTGGCACAATGATTGCATCAAACAAATTAAATGCACTAACCAATGGCATACCACCAAGTTTCTTACAGTATGTACATTTTTTGGTTCACTGTAAATCTGTTTTTAGAGGGCGGTCTCAATAGACTTCAATGACTACATCTCCTTTTTATGAACCTACGAAAAAAATAGTAAATCTTCTAAGACATCAAAAAAAACATGTACAAAAAAAATATGTTTGAAAAATATGATTCATCGCATAGTTTCAGTGCTGAAGCAGCACTGTGGGATAAATTATAAATTAATAAATCTTCAGCATTTTTTTAATGATCTGTTCAACCCGAAGCTGTACACTATTGTCCAATAACACAGGCTACAGGTATTAATATAATAAGTTGACTAGATTTGGCTGATACACTTGGAACAAAACAGTATATATGCCATCATTAACTTGAAGAATACAAAACTAATTAACCAAACGGAATCACCGAATGAAAGCTTGCCCATTTATAACAATTTTTTTTTGATTGGCTGCTGTTGAGCTGAGACGGCGTAACTTCACGATTGACATTTAAAGCTCACTGCCACTGTAATGCTCATTACTATGCAATTTCAACTGAGTCTGATGGTTACCTCACTGAGTCAAGTGATTTAAACGATGATAATTATTTTAATTAATACTGTTTGTTTTATTATGTTCTAATCTACGATCATAAATCTATTCACTTCAAAAATTTAAGGGGTATGACCCCCCCCCCCCCAAACTACGGGCCTGATTACTGTAATGTCTAAGTATCTACTAATATTATACTTATATATCGATACTCCTATGTATTATTTACGATGTATTAATTAATGACGTGATATCACATCCGGGTTATTGGAATAAAGGTGGGATCGAGGCTCCTGCACTTGAACGTTACACCAAGTCACTGTACACACTGTACGAAAGTTGTCTCCTTGTACTACATTGTAATTACATTATGACAAAAAATCTGTATTTAATATTCTGTATTCTTACACACAAAATATCGAACAAAATTTGACAAGTATATATTCACACACATATAGAGAAAATAGCCTACTGTATTGATGATAAAAATGAACTAGAGCAAAACAAAAAGCTACAGAACTGCAGCTACAATGACAGTTAACAAACAACTGATTGTACAGTATACTCACAAGCAAGCACATATATAGTACACACATATGTATGCATTACATCCATGTGCACACGCTCACATGAATGTCTTACAATCATTGTGACGACACACATTGGATTAACTATTATTATAGTATTATCAGTCATTGTAGCAGATTATTCGCGATAATGTATCCCATTAACGAGCATCAAGGCCCGTGCCATGGATATGAATATACATGTAATAACAAAGGAGAAACTATTTGAAAAGATAAGAAATTGTTAGGTTACAAGTATTTAATTAATACTAAAATCGGCATCAAATAAAATGGTCTATTGCCAACAACAGCGGGTTTTGATATTTTGTGAGGGCATTGTCTGCTCTGTAAGCTAATTCGTGTTTGGTAGAAGCATTCTATCTAGTACATGTATGCGTAGTTCTTGATTCTGCGACTGATGTTGCTGTCCTGGTGGCCTCCTAGGTCACCTTATCGTGTTAATTAACTAATGTTAACCAGGGTGATTTATCAAAGCATATGCGATAAACAAAGTGGGGGTATGTCTGCAGAGTGCGAGTACAGAGATTATTTTGTTACTACACTATTTGCGAAACGAGATCAACGAAAGACCGACGTGACCTGTATTTCCTAACCATCGACTAAATGTCACAGTTTGGGCATAGTTTCCATAAACAAATGAAAGTATCTGTGTTCTCAGGTGTGTTTTAAAGTTATACAGATTAAAATTACTGTTGGTTCTCCTTCCAGGATGGTTAACACCCACTAGCTTGCCAGCCATGTTCGTTCGCTCACTACACCTATAAGTTTCGTTTAGCTTCATAGTATTTGTCAAATTTTACTGGCCTCGCGTAGAATTTGAAGATAACTACATGTATACACAGACAGTTGCCAATAACATCTAACTTGATGGTTTGAAAACTTGAGGGATGGGGTATTGATACGACTACGGACATGTACCCCGGGTACGCACCCCTACGAACAGTCGATCCAGCTGGTCCACAGTGGCGATCTAGTGTAGCGTAGTGCAAGGCTACAGCAGACAAAGAAACAGCGTACAGTCACGATATGTGCTGTTCGCTTGGGCAATCACTAGAATGCTACTGCATAATACTTATCTCGTCCACTTGCAATGTAAATGATTTAAATACAATCATATTTGATGGATTAAAACTACTTTCTTTCCTAGTTTGTCACATGAGATTGTGGAAACAATTTCCAGCAAGACGTTTTAAATTGTTTAGATTCACAGGCCAGTGTTTGTGAAACTGTTCCATTCACTATGGATTTTTCTCCAAGTTTTCCACTTTTTACTGGCAGAAAATCCACTTGTTTTGATAACGCTACAAATTAATAACAATAATGAACTCTGCGCCAACCCATAATGAACTCAAGCACATTATTGTTTAAATATAGTTTTTATATAGAATTAACTTTTCAAACAGTTGCGTTATGTTTGGATTAAAACGCAACTCTATATAGGGTTGCGATTTAATTGGAATTTTAATTAAACTGAATTACATTGCAATTCAATATGGAATTGCGTTTGAATTGATATTTAATTAAATAAAAATGCAACAAAATAGAAATAACATCATACATAGAAATGTTTGCGAAGCTTAGAGTTAGTAAAGAGGGCAGGTACTGGTATGATACAGTCCCCCCTTTACTAACCCTAAACTAAGAAAACTTGACTTAAATTCGATAAAATATTAATATAATTTATGAAAAATAGGGAGGGTCATCACTTGGTAGGTTTCTCGTTGTTTAGTAGGTGTAAAGTTAGAGAAAAAGTCGAGGCAAACAACATAAAGCTCCCAGATGAAAGAGCTCCACAAATGTAGGAGAATGCAATTTTTATTTTTTATATATCATTTTTCATTCTCTAGATAATCAAATTTTCATCAGTATTATCTTGATTTTCAAGCAAAGGATTGTGGGTAAAGTGTGACATCATATCCTTCTGATGTGAAAAATTGAGAAAATGCATTCATCTTTGCCCAAAGTAATCTGGAATGTGTTATTAATTAGCATTTACATTGTTTTTCCAGATTACCACATTTGCTCGTGATATCAATATTCCAGACTTGTGTGCTATCTGTAAAGCAAAGGATTACAGTGCAAAGAATGAACAACTATCTGATTGGACTGAGTTTTTGAATGACCAAGGAAATCTCATCCCTGAAAAATTAAATAGACTGCTGTATGAAGGGATAGAAAATGCATTGATGATATACGGGGATGAATTTGAAGATGTTTCTCTTGTTGAAGCGCCCTCTGGTGTTGTGACTTTGATAATCAAAGATGGAGGTCATCGCTTGAGTGTAAAACTTGTAGTTTCAGTGTTATGTTCTGGTTTGCCCCCAGGCGCGAGGATGCCAGTAAGATGGCCAAATCATCCTTATGCAAAAGGGAAAAGTAAAGCTTTTATAAAAAAAATACATAAAGACATTGATTCTGGCATGAGAATGTGGTGTCTTGTTGGCAAAGAATTCTCCCCTGTCAAAGGAGTTGGGAAAGCACATAATGAAGAACTTACTCCATCTTTGTGGTATATCTCCATGGCAACTCTTGAACAAAGGTTTATTGAAGGTGAAAAGGTTGATGGGGAGGACATGACACAAACGGAAGAAAACAAATGCAGAGAGTTGGTATTGAGTTTTTTTCACGTATTGCGAGAAGGACCGGAAAGTAGCCTAAAAATCTTAACAGACAGACACTTACAAACTCTGTTGCTATGGGAATGTAATCGCCATGGGAACTGGTCCACTGATGTAATTGGAGAGCGGGTTTTCAGTATGTTGCGTCGGCTGCGAGATGACTTAAAGCTCAATACCTTGCCAGATTTCTTCTATGTTGATCTGAACATTTTTTCAGATCTGAGCACTCACTTGAGAAGGGCAATGCATTCTGCTGTTCGACAAATGTTGAAAAATATTGAGTATGATCCAGAGAACATGTTTTATTATTTGTCTGTAACAGAGCAATAAAGATTAAGATGCATCATTGGAAATTTACTGGAATTGTTTATAATAATTAACTGGAACGTTTGTCATAATATCGACAGAACACAGCTATTCATATTACTGATTATCATTAAAGTGGGTAATAAACCATCTGATCTGAAACTTACGATCTCCTATCATTATGCATAAATAAATGATTTAGATTTTATATAGATAGTAACATAATATTAAACACTTGGTTTTTATTCCCATTTTAAAAATACATCTGTTTTTTTTGCTTGCCTATGTTGACACCTGACATGATTTTTAGCAAACTCTTATAGTTATGCTATGTATTGCATATGGACTACATAGTGAGGATGTGTCATTGGTAATGGATATGCATATGTATATGGATGTATATATATATATATAGAGAGAGAGAGAGAGAGACAAAAATATGCAGAAATAACAATATTTTACCAAGCAGTGTGCCAACTATGCAAGTACTATATCAAACTATTCATTCACCGCGTAAATAATCAAATCAAAGTTAGAAAATTATATATTAAAAATAATATTATTAGAAAGAAACAATATGACATACTGTTTAATAGTTTATTTTCGCTTCAAATTAATTTTCGCTATTTTCGCTGAAGGGATGATTCAGTGAAAATAAAATCCAGCAAATATTGCTTTTTTCTAAGTTTTACCTTCAACTCATCAAAAATCAGTGAAAATAAACTCCATACAAAACACACAAAAAGTCTTTTCAGCAAAAATAAATTCCAGCTAAAATAAGGTCTTTCACAGTAGGCACAAACGTCAATATAGGTCCCATATTGAACAGGACATGGTACAACGGCTGTAGTATCAGTACTTTTAAGGATTAAAAAGGGAAAAAAAGACTGCGTTTAATTTTCTGTACCATTTATTTGTAAAACATGCAAATAAGGTAATTTACATATTTTAGAATATATAATTTGTTTCGTAAGCCACTCTCCCTCGTGTATATTGAATTTTGAACAGTTTTAGAAGAACATGTGACCTTATATAATGGGTCAAAGGTCATATCCTAATATAGGAACATGTTACATTAACTGGTATCTTAAGCTTACACACTATATTGTAATAATAGAAGTGTGCTTTAAACAGAGAAAGATTTTATCAACATATTTGTATTTCCCTAAATTTCAACAAATTTGTATTTATACTCTGTACAGAATATTATGTGGCATTCATTATTGAATGCACGTACATATACTGTAAAACCATTAATATTTAATATTTTGAGTGTATTTACAGGATTTTAAGTTCACAAAATTAACTTATCAGTGAAATTAGCAAAATTAAAACCCAGGGAAAAACTTATTCATTATAAAAGGTATATACACAAAAAGAGACAACAAAGACGTTCAGTGTCTGGAGCCATCAGTGAAATTGGTTCCTAAATATCTGATGAAATGGTTATGCATGTGATACCGGTATATATATATTTTTGTGTGTGAATCAGTTGATATTTGGCAGTGGGAGCAATCTGTTAAAAAGCCTTCATGTTATATATCTATAGCCATGGTTTCAAAAGTGCAAATTAAGGCCCCCAAAAATTCTGGTCATTGTGCATGTCAGTTAAAAATGGTCATGTCACAGCGTTGCTTAATTTTGAATTTCTATGTTGTATTGAATACAGAACACTGATTACTGTGATCTGAATGAAATGCTTTACTCCAAATCATGAAGTATTAGAGCACTGAACGTTATGGTGTTTAAAGAGCGGTGGTCACACATTTTTGAAATTAGTAAACAAGCAATTTATTTCACACACATTGTATACGTTGTTGTGGGTCCCATCTCGTACACAGCACGGTGCGACAACCAGTGCCCTTTACTCACCAACTCAAACATAATTTTCATTCAAGGCCAGTTTACTTAATTTTATTTTAGAAGAGGTTTCAAAATTTTCCTTTCTCAGAGTTCTGTGTGTGCCTTTCAAAAAACATTTGGCACAATAGGATGGCAGCAGCTATTCTATTAACTCCGACAATCAATACGTTGCTGTTGTCGGACGTTAGTAAATATTCAGTTAAAAAATGTATTCTTTCAATACCTATTATTTGCACCTTTGATTAAATATATGGCGGGAAAGTGTCAGTTGTAATTTTATATAATTTTGCTAGTCAAAAACACTGCAAAATTTATAATTAACAGAAAACAATGTGAAGACTACTACAAAATGTCTGACTAGCAAATGATTTATGTCAATAAAATTATTATTAGTTATTTGTTCAAAGGTTCATTCTGTATTATTCATTGTATAATAGTCCATGGCCTAGACTTGCATACAGTCTCTTGTTTATTTTTTGGTGTTTATTTCATTAACATAAAATATGAGAGTGTATAAATGGCAAAAGCTGGGTTATTTCATGGTAACCTAGTTTTCGCCATTTACACACTTTTTTTATTTCATTGAAAAAACAACAAAAAACAGATAAGACTTCAAGTATATCCATGGCCGAATCTCCATGGCCATTCCATTCTGCAAATAATCAAACAAGACAACGCCCTCACCTGCAGGCGATCAATAACTTCTCAGCATGCGCAAGATGCTTCTGCGCAGAACGTGGCTTTTCCGGATTCGTTGATGTAAACACTAGTTACATGTGGCCTTTCGAGGACAATTCACCTTTCGGCTACTTTAAATCCAAGTCTCTAACTGTGGAAAGGCACATACTGGAGCGACGCTAGGTGAGCACTGAAGTATCGACCATGATGTGGTGGACAGTGACGATTGTATGGCTGGCTTCCGCGGTTTTGTTGTCGGACATGGTTTCCTTTTGTACCGGACAAGCGACAAGTGAACAGACCAGTCCAACTTCTGGAAAACTAAGTTTCAAAACTCCTGATTTGAGCGATGAAGAAGCGCATTCGTTACATTTGCCGACAGCGCTTAAGTGTGATGCTTGCAGGATTCTAGCATATTCGGTATGTAAACATTAACTATCATCATCACAGAGCAAGGAGCCTGATTTCAGGACCAGGACTTCTTTTCCCTGAATTGTGCACACGACGCTCCGGCCACTGCCAGGCTCCCTCTCCCCCTCCCGCTTGAATTCTGTGACAACCATACTTATTCAGTAACACTTTATTTATAATACTGCGGATTTACGATTTAAATCTGTAGAGCGTCCGTGTTATAATAATCCATAGACCTAGAATAGCGCATGAACCAAATAATTTAGAAACGCCACCGTCCTCTAACTTGTCTGTTCCCGGTGTGAGCCCACAGTCCGAGCGCGTGAATGTAGTGGTCGAGTACGTTTATTATCCGTCCAGATGATTCCCAATTATTGAATGTATAGATGGATTCGCGTTTCGATGCACTTTACAAATTATGCGCCGAGAAAATGCGACAAATTAAGATTCCCCACAAGAAAAGGGAATGTGGGTTAACCCGGTAGTTGATTTTGGAAAAACAATTTACACCAGTGGAGAGTAAATAACAAACCAGTAGGTCGGTTGCCGGGATCGGTTGGTGATTCACTGGGGACGTGAACAATCATTGTGTTGGCTGTTGACATGGCAACGATAGGACAGTTTTTTTTTTTTTTTTGCCAAATAGAGTGATCAGCCCAAGTTTGGAAAACGTCAGGCCAAAAAAATCACAGAAAGGTTTAAATGAAGATTCTGACAAAAACATTACCCAAAATTCTGTGTCAATTCTGTTTTTTGGCAATGAAGAAAGATGTAAAAAACAAACTGAAAACAGTTTCTTATGCACTCCCATCCCTCTAACACTACCCCTACCCTCCAATGCCCCCGAAATTTAATTGTATACGCCCTCCTAAGCACACCTGCATGTTGAGTTTTAACATAATCAGCCCATCCCCAAAAAATCAGAGGAGTTTTAATATGTACATCACAGACAGGCGCTAATTATTACGGCAATTCTAGCTGGAAGATCACCAATAAACAGCCCGAAACAACACAGTTTAAAAAGAGAAATCTCTGAGTAAATACATGTACTAATTTAAATTTTTAGCTCCGCTGTCGACTTTGTCGAGCGGAGCTTATCATATGAGTGATTGTCCGTCGTCGTCAGTGTCAATGTTTTACTTTTTCGACTTCTTGAAAACTACAAGCCTGAATGCTTTGATACTTGGTGTATATGTACCTTGGGTAGACCTCTTAGGTTTGTTCATTTCATGTTGATATCTTCAATTCTCTAATTTTGGTGAATATTTTTGTCATTTTTGGTAAAAAGTGGTATTTTCGACTTCTTGTTAAAAACCGCAAGTGTTTGCTTTGATATTACATTTATAGGTACTACATGTGGACCTCTCTCAGATTTGTTCATTTTGTAATGATATCTTTAATTCTCTAATTTTGGTGAATATTTTTGTCATTTTTGGTAAAAAGTGATATTTTCGACTTCTTGTTAAAAACTGTAAGTCCGACTGCTTTGATACTATTCATATTGTTCATTTTCTAATGATGTCTTCAGTTCTTTAATTGAAATGTGCATTGCTAACAGCGGAGCTATCTCAGCCGATAGGCTGTTGTTTTTTATTTGATTAAAATAAATATCAGTTTTTGAGATGATAGTTACATATGCAAAGCTTGTACATTGTAACATTTTACTCTGTGTTTACCTATTTGAATAATTTAAAGGTTATTTTTTATAACATAAATCTTTAAATATGAATATACTGAAAAAAAAAAAACTCAGCACATCAGCCTTGTGCATTTTATTTAAAGGCTTGTTATATACAAGCATTACCTGTGGACGCTATTTTTTTTATATTCATTTTGGCTTTTTGTGGAGGCTTTCAGCGGGCTACGTTAATTATATTTTTACACGTTTTATACTTTTTTTAACTTTTCCAATTATTTAGTGTTCTAGTTGCCCAAGACTAAAAGGAACATGCTCATGTCTCTTCACCAATTTCTGCAACCATATATTAAGCAAAAATGTAAGAAACAATGAGAGCACAAAAACGTTATACCTTATTTCAGCATCTGTCATGCCATATGAGACAAGGATATACCTTTCAAGGATGTACATTGTAGTAGATGTTTTCAGAAAGTAAAAGTTACCCTACAGTATTTGTTTTCATGGAAAACTATAAAACTATATATTTTATGAAAGCTCATAATTCATACTAAATTGATATGTTCACTTGATTGCTAAATACCCCTGGTAAATGAAATAAAATCTGTAAAATACTTTATTTTGGCTGAAATTAATTTTTGCTGAAAAGACTTTTTTGGTGTTTGTATGGAATCTATTTTCACTTATTTTTGGAAAGTTGGATTTCATTTTCACTGAATTATTCCTTCAGCAAAAATAGTGAAAATGAATATCAAGCGAAAATAAAGTATTTACAGTATTGAAGATTCGAATGAGTACTGTGGAAAATTTTAATATATACCACAGTTTTTTGTGTTTTTTTTTTAAAATGTAGAATAAAACATGAAGCATATAACAGTAACAGCGATTTTACATATATTTTTTTTCGTTTAAATGTCTATTTTTTGCATTTTCACCAGAGTATGTTGTTTCTTTTGTTCAAGGCAATCTGACAGCGTGCTGAATGCCTCCAGGGATAGCCAAACAAATGACGTCAGCGAATGATGTTAAATCAATCTAAAAAGAGTGACAATGTTAAAGCGTCACAATTGTCATAAAGTTATTTGTGGAAACAGTACCATACAAACTTTCTATCTACTGTAAAAGGGTTAATTATTTAGTGGGTTTTAATTTTGCTTATTTCATTGACCGAAAAATGCGCTAAATTGAAACGCAGTGAATATGTAAAATTGAGCATAGAACACATTATCTAAATGATAAAATCGTGAATTTAAAACTCACTGAATATGCCTGAAATGGTAAATCAGCGAAATTTAAACCCAGTGAAAATTAGTCATTTTACAGTACTATTCTACCTACTAATACATGCGTGAAATTTAATCCTAAGATGAGGGGTGGGGTCTGCATACAAATGAAAGTCATGAAAATAAAATGTTCTTCTTGCACAAAGAGCGACAGTTCAATTTTGCCTGTAGTATTGATCATGTGAATAAATGAGAACCTCTACCAGGGTAGTTGAAATGTACACAGTGTAAAATATTTAACAATGAAAAACCAAAGAGGAATGGTGAAGTCTTGGGAAGTAGTACTTGAATGGTACATGTCTTTTGACTATACAAGCTAAATTTTATTGATAATTGACAGTTAAGACACCATGAAATTGTAGACTTAATTAGTCCAGTTATTGAATCAATTTTCTATTTCATATTCTCTGTAATGTACCCACAAAATATAAGCTAAATTGTTGGAAATTGATTTAAATTGCCGGTTAGTATAGATGGTATATTTATAAGCTTAGCATGGCTTTGTTCCCATGGAAATATATTAAATAATGCATCACAGCCATTTTAGCTAGGTGATTTGAAATTTACACCACATTGGTAAGGAGGGTTACCTTGGCGATAGTACAGTAGTTTTCATTTTCACCTTGCCTCAGGGAGATTTTAGGTTTGATTACCAGAGCCAACTGTACTCGGCAGTACGAATCCGGGTACAGTCTGCCCTGCCTTCCAAACATTTATTGCGTTTAGGAAACTGGTTTGCACACATATTCTTGTAATTTGCAATTTGGACAAAAAATCCTGCAGAGACAGCTGTGACTTCCATGTCCAGAAATGTTGCCTGGCATAAAAATATTTAAAAAAAAGAATATGCATGTTACAAACAGGGATTATTACCATTCTGTTTTGTCAGCTTTTCCAACAAGCAGCCTATCGGCTGAGATAGCTCCGCTGTTAGCAATGCACATTTCAATTAAAGAACTGAAGACATCATTAGAAAATGAACAATATGTATAGTATCAAAGCAATCGGACTTGCAGTTTTTAACAAGAAGTCGAAAATATCACTTTTTACCAAAAATGACAAAAATATTCACCAAAATTAGAGAATTGAAGATATCAACATGAAATGAACAAACCTAAGAGAGGTCTACCCAAGGTACATATACACAAAGTATCAAAGCATTAAGGCTTGTAGTTTTCAAGAAGTCAAAAAAGTAAAACATTGACACGGACGACGGACGACGACGACGGACGACGGACGACAACGGACAATCACTCATATGATAAGCTCCGCTCCACAAAGTCGACAGCGGAGCTAACAAAAAACAACACTGATGGCTGCTGCACATTTCTTTTCATAGAAACCAAGTGAGTTCTAAAAACCAAATTAACATGAAAAGCAGTTGTTCTCTCTATTGTTACAAATATTTTGTCAAAAACCCTAATGTGTTTTTTTTCCAAGAAACTAAGGTGCCATCAGTAAATAACGTGCCACGAATTCCAAGGCTAGGCAGCTATTTGTTTTACAAAATTTTGTAAATTATGCAAAAATTATGTGATAAATCTAAAATGCTCAGTTTGCTATCGTATTTTTGAAAAAAAAAAATGATTTCCCTAATCATCAGCTTTTCAGTCCCCGTTCAGACATTGTCTGAAAACAGGGATTTGTGGATTGACCTCTGTGCGTGCGTGCGTGCGTGCGTGCGTGCATGCGTGCGTGCGTGTGTGCGTACGTCCAGACCAATTACATTCGAACTTCACACATACATCATACGTAATATTATACATATTAATACACATCAATTTGTTTCACAATCTTATTCAAGATGGCCGAATGGCGGCCATTTATGTGGGACCTTGATGCACACCAATTTGTTTTTCAGATCAGATTTAAAATAGCTGACTGGTGGCCATTTTGTTTTAATGAATGCGTTTCTAGAGCAATATCTCTCAAATATGGACAAGTACTCATTTGATGATCAGTTGCAAGATGACTGAATGTCAATAATTTTAATGTTAAAAAATCTTCATAATCAAGCATCAGCTTCTGGATCCATATGTGACATGTTTATGTTCCAACTATATTACTATAAACAATACTATATATCTTAAATTTGATAACAGGGACTGTGTCGTGCATGGCTTGTTATTTTGTGCTTTTCTTTTAATAGTGAATACTTTAAAAATAGAAATTGCCGTTTCATGAACATTTCTAACCAGTAGATGTAACGACCAAAAACATAAATATTTAATCTCCTGGCCTATCATGATTTACCACAAAAAACAATTAGCTTGATCATTGCTACAATTAATTACAACACTTGATTAATTTTAAATAACAAAACTGGAATTTAAACCAATAGCAAGCTGCCAGGTGTCGTTGTTAAGTGATGAGCCTTCACCACCTGTTGGTAATTTGTGTACATGTACAACATGTAGTCGTGTAATTCGACTCAACACGTCACATTTAAATATTGTAAAACATCCAATAAATTTGTTCATTGCAATATAATTCAGTCTACTAGAATATTAACATTTCATGAACATAATTCATAACGTTTTCAATCTGAAGTGTTGCAAAATGGTTAGAAGATTGTGGGTTAGACTCTCATAGTCAACTGCAATGTCGTCAATGCAAAAAAATTTAAAAGAATGACGTACATTTGGAGGGGATGTTCAGCTGTATTGTTCTCGTAATGATCTATTTGTTGCAAAGAGTTGTGGTATCAGCACGATAACTGATGTATTGCTCCCCATTTTTGTGTTGTGCTGTCCCTTATTTCTGAAGCTGTTAATGGGCTCAAAGCTTGTGTACAGGAAATGTCGGTATGAGTTGGTACCGGTAATATGCATCTTCATTTCAATAAATACTGACTTAATAAATATAATGCTGTTAGCAATCTACCTGGGTGTTTTGTGATATAAACTGACTTGAACTCTACACAAAAGTAAAAACATTGTCATTTTTTATTTTTTTACATATTTAATATATCATTTTACAAGAATGGAGAAAATAAATTAAAAATATGAAGTCACCGTAATGTTCAGAGCAAATAAATCAAAATACCCACTGTACGTTTTGTTCGTTTTAGGGTGTTTTACCATAGTTTACCATAGCAGTTAGGAAATATATCTTGGTGTTCTTCCCAAAGCGTTTTAGTGATTAGGGATGGAGGGGGTCGAATGCACGCAATTCTCAATTCTAATGATAATGATTTCATAGTTATATTATTTTTTTCAAAACTCCAGATATGAATTCTGTGTATATAATTGTAAACAATTAACAATATTTAACTGACAATTTTTTGGCAATATATAATAACTAAATGTGTTTCACTGTATACAGTAAATTTAGTTTATTTAAAAACATACAACTATACATTATGTTAATTAGTATGCAAATTAATATGCAAATTATCCACAACCCTGATAAAATTTACTGAGGAGAACACTGATCTCAAAATTTTGCTTGGTCACATAGATGTATGTATGGTGAAAGTAGATGTATAGTGTTTTTTTAATGTCTAGAAGTATCAAAAAAGTGACAGTGTTTTCAATGAAGAAATATGTTTCTATTGTGGTCTCTGGAAATTGCTGTTACATGTAAAAGGCAATGATGTATATTAAAAAAGTTCAATTGACTAATACTAAAACGATTACTGGTAATTATAAAAAGATTTTTGACATTAAAACACTGTCACTACTATATATGCTAAAATATGTACACATAAAAAACTTGTAATGAGCATTGTGAATCTGGGAATATTCAAAAATTTGTGAAATTAAAATCAAAGACTTTCATCAAATTTTATCATAAATTAATGTGATATAAAATTTCATATTATGACATCATTTCTAGTGGAGGAAATGTACATCTGTTTCACAGTAATCTTCTCCCCTTATAACATCTGGTATGTTGACACAAATAGATCTGTTATCTACAGATGTGATGAAAAATAGATATTAGTAACACTCTGTTTTGAATCTCAGAATTTGCCAATCATTGACAGCCATCCTAGATATCTCATTAAATTGCTACTTGGTAGCCATTTAGTTTTTTTTGTAGCCGTAAATAAAGAATCATAGATTGTTTTTTTGTTTTTTTATATGTGTCACCTCATCTTTGCTTATCTAAATATTACGTTATAGCCATAAAATTGACACACATATGGAAATATGAATAAATTTATTCATGAAATTTGAATAAACTGAGAAAACGTAAAAATATGTTGCATATGTTTTTTAAATATTTATTTCGCGATTGAGAATTAATTAATTTGATTAGTATGTATTTAATTGATTATTGTATCGATGACATGTATGTATCTCTTGATATCTCGAATCTTCTCTCGATTTATTGAAATAATAATTGTCACTTACTAAATTTGTAGTTTGATTACAGTCCCTATAGGGATTGTCATATCTCTAATCCATCCTCAGGGGCGGAGCTACGTCACAAGACGTTCCACGTTGCTAAGACGCGCACCACTGTACATGCATTTCTATGGGCTCTGTGCGCGCTGCTGTGGAACGCCGGTCGAGCCGGTGAAAATTCGAGAAAACGACACAAACCCAACTTTAAAGTAATCCTGAACAACTAAATTTACATATGTTACACACGTAGGGCTAATCTTGTTACACTGTCCAGGGGAGTCTCAACAACCATTCCCAAGTACCGTTTTCTATGAGTTTTTGGCCTTTCTTTTCACCGTGATGGTTGCCAGGCGGTGAAAATGCCCGGATGTTCGCCCCCGAGGATATGCCCGGTAATGGTAGTTTCTTGTTTACTTGTTTATCTATAGAGAAACACTGCATCATATGCATACCATAGATAATTGTATTAATATTACAATCAATTATTTTTTTTTAATATAAGAATATTCTTTTCCATCATCAATAAATAGTTGTTCAATAATATAAATATGTCAATGTTTTTTGATATTTTTTTTTTATAGATACGAGAGTCATTTGATGAAGCTCATAGGAAGAGGCCTTCTCTCAAAAGATTACCTGAATCAGATTTGATTGATATACTAGAAAATAAGTGTGACCAACAATGGGAAAAGTATGTATATATTTCATGTGACTGAGAGAACAGTGTTCAATATTGAAAGGGTTGTTATCTCATTTATGAAGATTTAATTTCCTGCTTTTTATGCTATTTTACTCCAGTCAGTTATAACATAGTATGTGAAATCACTTAAATGGCGCCCCCACAGTCCAATAATAGAAATGTGTATATCAGCCAATCAGATGCCTTGTTACAAATATCTATTTTCAGCATGATAACTGAGATAGAGCTCAATTATTGGTGGATTATATTTCCAATGTTTTAAGCATCTTAATATGATATAAAATCTAGTGGATATTCAAATTTAACTATAGATTTTATCGTTTCCTTCAAAAACTATTGAATCTGAAAATTTTGTGAATCTAAAGCCTGGCCATTGCTTTCAAATTAGCATATTTTCTTAATTTATGAGCCTTGACCTTGTGACACTGAATTTAAATTAAATGTCAGTGTGAAAATTCTGTAAACAAGGAATACATATAGTACAGTAATTGTATTTCTCTTCAGACAACAGATCACTTGACAAAATCCATAACTAATTATGTTATTTAAAATTTCATTGATTGAATGAATGATAAACAACAAGCTTAATAAACTGTTAAAAGCCTACCTCTAATAAAAATATAAATACAGAATTTGGCTTGAAATCATCTCCAATATACATATAATTTTAAAAAAAAATGTATTTTTTGAGTTTTATTTAAGTATATCATACTTGTCCATTTACACTAACAAGTGATATTTTTAAATGTACATGCTTTGAATGCCACACAAAATCATGAAACTAACTATGAAATTATATTTAAATTTTTGTTTTTTTTGTACAATTTGTAATAGTGTTGGGGTCAAAGAAATCGAGGGAGTAAAGAGACTTTCAGGCCCTGGTCTTGAGACTTCGGAAGTGCCAGGAATTATGCAAGGTGGAGGTAAATGGCCATACAGGTAAGTTTACGATTCCTACCACTGAGGGCATTGACTTTCAGATCACATTTTTTTGAGCTGATATAAATATTGAAACTTGTATGCTTTCAATAAACAAACTTGAAAATTCTATTTTACTGAATAATGTTATTAGTTAAAGTCAAAGTCATGATAAAAGCCATTATTATACATCTTTCACCGTAATGCCATAAGTTACAGCGTGACGTAATTTTGCGGTATTTTACAGGGTATTTTCATCTTACCATATAAGGAAATGCGAATTGCAAATATGGAGTGATTACGCGTGTAAGCTTCCTCTAATAATAAAAACAAACATGGCTGCCATCAGGGTTTGACCGACCGGACTCCACACAAAGAAGTTCACTGATTCTGTTCTAAACATTTTTGATTTCGGTATTCTCATGATGTATCCTTGGAAGGAAAAGATGTATAATAATAAGGTTATTATGAGAATACCTCAAAGTATGCACTCAGACAGTACGCCGCACATTGGCCTCCACTACACGCCGGTCGATAGTCCAGCTGTACTGTCTTCGTGCATACTTTGAGGTATCCTCGTAATAACCTCATATTCTTTTGTGATGGCTGATACAATCTTACCAATTATGTGTTTCTGCAGCATGTTGAGTTTTTATAGTGTTTACTTGGAATGAGGACAGAAGTATATTCAAATAATGTTTAATGCATGGGATGGTAAATTTCTGGTAGGGCTGGTGAAAATTACCTGTCCTGTGTCTGCTACACTGTATTGGCAAATTGTATAGAGTATACACCTTGTATATGTTCAAAATACAAACCATGTTCATGTCTGGGGAAATATGACAACATCATGCTACGAGGGAGGCAGGAAGGGGTTAGGCATATCTAGCAGTTTCTTTATTCAAAAGCTTATTCTAATATTTATGTATTTAGATAATATATCTTGCATCTGATAGTAATCTCACAAGTCTAGTAATTTAGATTAATTTCAAGTCAATATTCAAGAAATTACTTAGAATTAATGTGTAATTTTCATTCATTTTCTACAGAATCTGTTAAGTTTAATTTCTTCTTGATAGTTGTTATTCTGGGCCAATAATTCATTATTCTGTTTTATTTATAGAATTAATGAAAGGTGTGGTTACTACGTTGGGGAGTATGGAGAGGATGAAATATACAACATATATAAAAAAAATCCTGACAAGTTTGAGAAATGGATGTGTTATGGGAAAGATGGTGATTGTACAGCAAAAAACAAAATTAAAAAGAAAACTGAACTTTGATAACATGTTTTTAAACATTTTGTTTTGTTCTATGTGGTAGGGTAGATTTCATAATTGTGGTATGATTACTGGAGTCTTTCAAGTCTATTGTTAGATAACTAGGGAGTCTCTAATATTGAGTTTTCAAGAATTGATGTATAGTTTTGCGGCTATATTGCGAGGTAACTAAGAGACTCTTGTAGGTCAGTGGGAATTTTCCAGGGAATCTTTGAGACTTGCCATATAACTTGGGAGTCTTTGATGTAAAGTTCAAGTCTAGGGAGTTTTCAAGACTATTGCTTGGTGAAATTATTCTTTCCTCATGGAAAACACATTATGCATTTTTAATATATATATTTCTCTTACTGATTTTAATTTAATTTTATTTCTGGAGAAGGAAATGCTTTCTATGTTTACTCTTTTCCTTTGATATGACCACTGGATTATGATAAAAAAAGAAAAAAATTATAAGAAATAATTTTGATCCTAATTTTTTCCATGATAACAAAATAATAATGGTATAATTTATTTTAGAATTTTTCCTTTTTTTTCAAAGGTTTCCACCCTAAAGTGTATGACATTGAATTATGAGTCTTATAACTGTCTTATTGTACTTGTATTCTATTCACCTACAACTGATAGCATAGTGGTGGCTGCATAAGTTCTACAGTTACAATGAGGCAAATAAAGCCACTGGTTGAGTTCAATACCTAGTTTCACTCAGTTTGAAATTGGATTATATATATATTGAATTAATATGCATACACAAAGTCAGGGGAGGTAACAAGGCTAAAATTAATTTTCTGAAACTGTTGATTGGTTCATATTTGTAATTACAAATTGTCATCACAACATTCTCTTTTATATACTGCAAGTTTTTATCGAAGACAGTCACTACTGTAATGTCGTCTATTAATAAAACAAAACCTCAAACAATCGATATATTCTAGTCTTGCACTATTATATGGATAACATCTTAATTAATATTAATATTAAAATCCAGTGTATGTATAACTTTTACATGAAAATATGAAGAATGCAATATTGTTAACTGCTGCAAGAATAATTGTTTTTGACACAGTAAATTCTATGTATGTGAAATGTATTGTATATATTCTGATTAAAGAATTGAATGTGTTTTGAAACTGATATGTTTATGTGTTCACTACATGTTGTAGTTCTGTCTGTCAAATTTTTAATATTTCTTTCAGACAGATTAGTTAATTGACTTTTGTTTATCTTTATATTTCTTTCTATATCTTCAATGCTATTTAGCCATGGCCAGGTTTTAATCAGATTATTCTCTTTAACTGCAGTTAGTTTATTAAAAATAACTTTTGACCATCTGGTTGATTCCATTAAACACAACCTCTTGTAATAATTCAGTTTTAATAAACTGACTCTACTTTTCATAGTTATCTACCCCAGGTCCCCTAGAACGGCTTCATTTGCTGTGTATCGACATGCTCCTAGAATAAACTTTCTCACTGTACGTTGCATTCTAATTTTTCCATATCTGTTAAACTAAATATTTGTAACCCACAGGCATACTCTAAGGCAGGTCTAATAATGTGGTTCCATAAGGATATACCATAATCTACTCTATTTACATTGCCATGGTTACCAAGAATTGATTTCATAATGGGGAATAACTTGTTAAACTTTTCAGACATTTTTGTAATTGTATGATCACAAGTTACGTGTAATCCAATAACCCAAATATTTATACTTAGAAGCTTCTTTTATCTTTGAGTTCCCAATCTGCCAATCTTTGATTTTGTTAACTTTCTTGTTAATGATCAACACGTTTGACTTTTCCTCATTAAATGTCATCTCCCATAGTTTGCAGAAATGGTTTGTGACATTTAACATGGATTTGAGTTGGTCCTCATTTGGTGCAATAAGCACCACAACATCAGCAAAAAACAATCCATTTATACAAATTTCATCCAATTTAACACCAAGTAGTGATTCATCTAACAGTTTTTTCTAATTCATTTATGTAAATTGAGAATAACATTGGGGCTAAAACACATCCTTGTTTTAAACCCTCATTTTGTGTAAAATAATCTGTTTCAATATCGCCAAATGGTACTTTACTTTCAATATGGTTATATGTATTTTTTATTATACGCCATAATTTGCCCTTTTACACCATTCTGCCATAAAGCATACCATAAACCTTCTCTCCAAATGCTGTCATAAGCCTTTTTAAGGCAAAATATGTATGCTTTTTCTGGTGTTTACGAATTGAAGCTATCCCTTTTAGAATGAACACTTGGTCAATTGTCTGTCTGTTTTTCCTGAAACCCCCTTAAATTTCCCCTAAAATATTTTTAGATTCCACCAAATTGGTTAATTCTTTTTCAATTAATTTACTATAAATTTTTCCAATAACTGAGCTGAGTGAAATGCCTCGATAGTTATTCAGATTTTTTATATTGCCTTTCTTGTGTAATGGTATTATTATGCTTTTCCCCCAATCTACAGTGACAACCTCAAAGCATGGAGACACATATTAAACATTAATTTTAATGAATCTGTCACTACTTTGCCACCACCTTTGATGATTTCATGGGTGATTTCATCTGGCCCGCAGCTTTATTATTCTTGAGATCTGATATTATTTTATTTATTTGTTCATCCTTTACGGAGATATTATTTATATTTTGTGATGAATCTTCTTCATACTTGGCTATTGAATCTAAAACTTTTTTTTCCAAACATTTTTGATTCTTGGAAAAAACTACCCTTCTCATCCAAATTTTGATGACTTCTTTCACCCAAGTGTTCCCAATAATTTATCAAAACATTTTTAACTTTATCTTTTTCGATTATTAATTTATGTTCCTGGTCAAGAACAACTGACGAATATGTTTTTTTGTATGTACTACATGTAAGTTGTTGTACTATTGTACTAAGACTCAATAAAAGTTTATTAAATATAAAAAAAAGAATATGTTCTTTGTTTAGGACCCTTTAGAATTGACCAGTACTTTAGAGTTGACACTACCGGTACTTGATGTAATTTTTTTGTCTTTAACCTCACAACATGTTTCAATTGTATTATTTAACCACTGGTTCCAAACTTCATCACATGCTGATTGTTTATTTGTTGTATTAGTTGCCAAACGCACGGTATCATCAAAGGATGATAACTTAGTGGTTAAAACATTTTGAAATTCATTCCAATCAGTGTTTTTGTTTATATCCCATTTTTGCGTTTTATTTGTTTTGTGGTCTCGTTTTAAAGTTGGAATGTTTAGAGTGGCATACATAATATTGTGGTCACTACCGATATCAATGACCCTATCCTCATCTACAAACGACTCTGTTACATTATACTTAAAGCTGTTATTTGTTAACATATAATCTATGACCGATTGTTGTGTATGGCGAAACCATGTCAATTTACCAATGCTAATATCACTATTATTAAGCAATGAAAGGTCAAAATTATTTATTAATGAAATTAATTTTTTTCCATTATTATTTACAGTTTTATCACCTGAAATATTCCCAATTCTACCGTTAAAATCCCCTAGCAATAGATACTGATCATTTGATCCTTCTAGATTATTAATATTACTAAATAATTCATGGTCCAGTTCATCAACCCCATCCTTGTTAGATTGAGATTATTTGTCCATCAAAACACACTTGTAATTCATTTATTTTACCACACATGACCTTTGGTCTGGAAGTATGGGGAAGCACTTTTAAATGAAATATTTTTGATTCTGAAAAAACTAGTTCGTCTTATATCATCCAGTAATGACGCACGTAGTACATTTTATTTAAAAAAACTTCAAAATCTTGACATCTATAAACAGTTTGAATTCTAGATTGGTATTTTTGTTTTTGACGCATTGCATCACAGCCTCCTTCACAGTGTGCAACTTATTTCCTAACATTCACATGATACTAGATCCAAAACATACAACATTCTCCATCTACCAAAATGGGATGGGTCAAAACCTTTATCAAATATGTAGGCCCCAAAGTTTGTAATAATATTCCAGAAAGCGTTAAAAAGCACCACTCTATATATACATTTAAAAAAGAATATAAAAAATTTCTTCTAAGTTTATATTAGCTCTTGTATTTAAATAAAGTTTTTTTTATATTTCACAGCCTCTTCATAGTCATAAATTATTGGTGCTCCCTGACTTCATTAGGAGGATTGGGGGGTCAACTAAATGATACACCAGTTCTGGTCAACAACGACACAATATCCAATGAATAAAAAACTTTTTGTATCTTATAAAAGTAGCGTTCACAGGTAATTCCGAATTTCCATATTCGGCAAGTTTGTGTGATCAATCTCGATTAGTGAGTGCGCCATCTATGGCAAATGCGTTTTAAACTTTTGTTTTCCTTTAATAATATTGGTGAGGGCGCTGTATGTCATAAAAATCAGCTGATCGTGGATTTGCTGCTACCGCTATTAGCAGTCCATCAAACTGAGGAAAAAACTGAAGATCATGGATTATGTCCGTGAGGATGGGCTATCGCTTACATGGGCTCATGCTGTGAACAGCAACAACAAACTTTACCAGGCGCTGAAAAGTAAGTTTACTGTTATCAGGTACTGATTACAGATGACACATAGACATAGTTCATGTCAAAAACTCCGGTTGTGATCTAGCTGCAGTTCTGTAGCTGGTGCTTTGAGCGTTTTTACCATGCCCGTACCATCAAAGATGGAAGGGAAAGGTATATTAAGGGAAAGATTTTGTCCGGCGTTGTCGTTGTTGTTGTTGTCGTCGTCGTTAATAATTGTTATTGTGTGCATAATAACTTTACTAATTCTATTCCAAACTTCATCAAACTTGGTCACTTTATTCATCAGTATAATGTCTTCCCTGAGTTTGAACAACAGATGTCCT